TCTTTGTTGCATGTCTTTTCATGCCCCACCATTGCCAAACTTTTCCTCATTGCCCGGCGCGATGGTGAGGCATTTCAGGCAAGAAATAGTAGAAGGGTCCGTGCCGAAGGCAAAACTCGATGCGCCATAGGGCCAGCCACACTTCGTATGCCAGCTCATCACTGGCGAGGCAATGGGTTGCCGTTTGTTCTCGTGGATGGCGCCGTTCTTCGAAATGACCGTGGGGGGTAGCAATCCCTGGTGTTTTGCCGACATCTTTTCCCACCTGTCTAACGACTCCTCCAATTTGTCCTGCGTGGCCTTCAACTTCTCGACCTCGCCCTTCATCCTCCTTTCCATTTCCTTTGTTATTTCTTTGACCTTCGACTCCTCCATGAACTTTTCTCCCGTATTAGGGCCGGGTTGCGTTGCACTTTGTTGCGGATGGTCTTCACGGCTCTTGACCGGCATGCTTTCCAAAGCTTCTTCGGCATATTCGACGGCATATTCGAGGATGACGTTGGATTTCCACCTCCCCAAGTAAGCCACTTGGGGCACACGCCATCCTCTGCGGATGTATTGCAATGCTCCCGATCTTCTCCCCGAATGGCCTGACACTTTCTTCCCAAAGAGATTCCTCCAGGCTTCTATTATCTGTCCCTTCGTCACCTCGTCCGCTTTGTCGCCTTGCACCAGCTTGTCTTATTCTATCGGGATGTGGTCCAGCGCTGTCCTTGTAATCATGAAGGGGCAGGTTTCTAGCCACCCACATTCGCTTTTGCAGCAGCACTGCAGAGTACGTCTCAGACCTCGCCCTTCTTGATCTGTCTTGGTGAGCCTGAGTGTCAAAGAAACTAGCTTTTCCTTCTCGTCGATGAGGATGTCCTCCTTGTGAATAGCCGCCAGTTCTACTTCCCTCAACATCCATACTGTGGCTACTGCAAACATCAGTGCTGGCCTGTGGACCGTGCCCTCCGCCATCTCATTGGTCTCCTTGCTGCAGGCTTCAAGCCATCTTCCTTCTTCTACCTCTGCTGCCTTCTTCGCTGGCCCCTTTGCACGATTGATGGCCCTCGCCACCTGCGCGTACGTCTTCTGTAGTAGTTGTGACCAAGAGGTGCCCGACTCGATCAGCATGTGTTTATATTCGTTCAAGTAGGCCACCCCCGCTTTGTAGTCGGAGTCCCTTAGCACGGTGCCCAGCTGTTCCATGGTATTGCACGACCAGAGTTGGCCCCTTTCCTTCGCGCCCAGGTTCTCCAGGATCTTCTCCACTGTCTTTCTGATGGATGCCCTTGCCCTCCTCGATGAATTAGCATAGTATTCTTTCCTGAATTCCGACATCGCCGAATCCTTCTTGTTCTTGTTCATCCTGAAGTTCCGCGCCGTCTGAATCGCGGTCTTCCATTTGTGTTTCAAACTTGTCGGTCCGTCCAACCTGTTCGGTCGTGGTCGAGGTAAATCGATCCTCCTGCCCTTCACATCCTCTCCCGTCTTGCGGCCCCTCCCTTCGTCACCTCGAGCAGCTTTATCTCCTCTCCTTTCTGGGTCTCCACAACCTTTTGCATTTCTTTTGAGACCCTTTCTCAGGAACATCAATAGGCCTTCTTCCTGAGTGTCCTCCCCGATTGGAATCTCCCCTGCCAGTTGTGTTGCCCACACTGAGCTCGCGTCCAAACCGGGTGGCCACGGAGGAAATGCAAAGTCCTGTTGTTTTGGCCTCACGGCCCCTTCGTACTCGTCCACCTTGCTTATAGCTGCCAATTGTCCTTGGTGTTGAGCCTCCTCGTCACCAACCACAACATATCCCCCGTTTCCCTCAACAGGTCCCCGAAGGTTCTCCCGAAGTGTTCCTCTCCGCTGAGGCCTCCCCCGGCGTGTCTAATTCCGTCGTCCATGAAGGTGGAGGGGAGCGCAAGTCCCTCGGCGGTGTTGCCATCCTGTCCAGGAGCCTTCTCCAGTGCTCGGGGGTTTCTCGTTCTTCCCTCGTGTTGTTGTCGGTGTCCATGTGCCTCCTTTTCATCTCCTGGCTCGGAATGTCGTTGATCGGAGGTGTCATGGCTTGGTCCCTCACCTGATCCATGTTCCACGGTTCTTCCCATTCTCCCTCCTCCGAAGTCTCTTTCTCGTCTTCTGCCCACCAGTGCCTCCATGGGGAATCCCGCAGAAGATAGCATTGTTCCCGGAGTTGCTGCCAAATGCGTATGCAGTAGCAGCAGGTTGCGAGGTGGCAGAGGATTCCGGTGCCGACGAGGTAGAAAACCAAGTAGGCCGGCCATGAAAATCGCCACGCCCCCTCAGCTTCTAAGAGGGGGAGTTCCTTAGGCACCAGTGCTTTCTCCACTTGAGCCAGCAAAAACTCCCGAACGACGTCGACGAAGTCTTATCAGGTCCTACCCACACTCAAGGTGCCCCTTTACCTCATCCCTTCCCTTGCCTTAACACCCCTTTTTGGCCAACCTGACTGGCTCCCGTGTTTAACGGTTTGCCCAGGCGGCTAACAAAGCTTCTGAACCTTGCCAGTCTGCTCCGTCAGGCCCCGGTGGGCTGAGGCGATACCAGTCAGTCGTCCGCTCCATCGGCGTTTCGATCTGAATCCCTGCCAAGGCTTCAGGGGGTGTTCGCCCAGCAGTCCGGCCTGGAGAGAAAATCGGCCTCCTTGTTTGCGGTGCCTGGTAGGTGTATGGGCTTCAAATCGGCGAGCCCCAGAGACTCGCATACCACCTCCAGCTCCGCCCCCAGGAAGTTGAGACCTGGGCTCGAATTCGAAAACCTCTGGGTCATGGCCAGCGCCGTGACGCTGTCTGACTGCACGTTCACGGCCACACTGACCGTCGTCAACAGCTTGCCCCAGTGCTTCAGGGCCACGAGAATGGCCAGTGTCTCCACCAAACCCTGGGAACTGGATTCTACCCAACAGTTTCGCGTCCAGAGAGCCCACCGGCGATGCCAAAGCCTTCGTCGC